AATGCCTCTCAGGCCTGGTTCACACTTACAGCTAATCCGCTGCCGCCGAAGCGGAATCAGCCGCGGCAATGCACAGTGGACGCTACGCCCGGCGGCCGAATTCTTGCAGATTCGCTCGCCGATTCGCAAGTGTGAACCAGGCCTCAGAGGAAAATGTAATCCTACACTCTAAGAAAAAATGGAGGAAAAAAGTAGCAACGGCGCGTCTTCCTCCCTTCTACCGGCCCGCCCCCAAGCGGACACGAGAAAAGGGGAGGAACGAAACGTTCTTCTCCTTCTCCAGGCAGACGGGAGAAAGCTTTCGCCCTCCCGACTCACCTTCTTTCGGTTTCGTTTTTCGAGCAGGTCGCGCACGTCGTTTAATAAATAGCTGTTGAGTTGATTGAGCTTCAGCGGCAGCAAAGGCCGCCTGTAATTCCGTCTTCTTGTCTAAACGTGCAGAACATTTCGGTTGCATTGACGTTTTTATCACTAATTTTATCAAACGAGCAAACGAAGCCGCTAGAAACAGCGAAGTTCCGGAGCAGTGGCAGCAGCCCCACGTACACTGTGGGATGCCCGTCTCCGGATCGCGGGCATTGCAGGACTCGCGCGGCACGGAACTACAGTCACTACAGTACCGAAACCACGCGAAACTGTGTCGACGTTTTCGACGTTATGGAAACTGCAGGAACTGCCTCCAAGACAGGCAGGTGTTGCTGCCGGCTGCCTGGGTGCCTTCCGTCCTGAGTTCGGTTCTGTTTTCCGATAACGAGTGCAACCGGCGTTCAACGTGGTTCTGTATTTGTGCATGTCAGCAACATAGCTGCAACATCGTGATGGCAGTGTTGTGGGTTGTGAACAGAAGACTGGAATTATCGTCGATGTGACCGTGTGTTCGCGTATCAGTGGTGAAAAAACAAGATGAGATCGTAAACTGTCGGGCATTGATGCCGCTGGTCAGGCCGTGATCGGAGGGGGCGGGGTGTCGCAGGTTGACATTCCGCTTTACATTAAAAAGTTTAATACCACTTGAGGGATTACGTGCAATCGATCAACGTGCGGATAGTCATGTTGGAACGCTGGTCTGAACAGTAGAAGCTCCTATCGCTATCGTACAGTGGCCAATGTAACTGTCGGAATTGTCTCGTCCCCGAGAGCGATTGGGCTCTGGGGCAAGGACTGAACACTACGAAATCGTGACAGAAAGTATATTTACAGTATGGAATTTCGGCATTAAAAAACAATAGTAGGTAAAATCGAAAAAAAAAAGCTACCCTTTATTTTGCTGTTTAAATATACTACGGTTCGTGGAGAAACTGCACTCCACGTGGCGCGCTGGGATGAGCGCTAGAAGTTTTCGGGCTCGCCACGGCGTAGCTCTGGTAGCTCCGTACACTTAATTAACACCTGCCGCAAGTCGCGGCTTTGACTGCATTCAAGTTGATCGAAAAGCGATTTCTCAGCCCGTGAAGCATCACTTCCAGCTGAGTGAATATCCGCTCTACAAAGATTAATTCAAGACGGCAATTGCAGCTTTGCGCGAACTGTACAAATCTATTGGCTTTCAAATAATTACGGCATGATCGAGCGTTTACTTTTTAATAAGAGATTAATCCCCTGAGCCATTCAAAATACTCTCAGAGGTTTGACATTGCTGGGAAAAAAATCAACATGCTGTAAATATTTTTTATTGCTTAGGGAGTCACCGAAAAGTTTCGTACGTTCAAAACGACCAGTATAAAAGACGGAAACGCAGAGCACGGGTATAGCGTTCGGGTTAGTACAAATGCTGAACTTTTTTGGGCACAGCTGCGGGCGGCACTAGAAGTTGATCTGTATGTGTCGTGGCGAAGTGCAATGTTTCTTGAGTGTGTGACGGGAAGAGATAGTCGAGCCTTTGAGGTTCTGACCATCCTTGGTTTGCACGCGTTGTGGAGGTCAAGAACGGATCACCTTCATGTTGTCGAAGGAGGGAAACCAGCTTGGAGGCATTTTTGGATGGTTTTGTGTATGCCAGCTCGCTGATAGCGACGACAGAGCAGGATGGGCTTGAGTGTTGGGAAACACTGAAGGCTCGGCTCGGAGTGCGTGGGCTCTCTGCCATCACCAAGTAGAGGCACGCCATTTGCTTTGCGGCGGTCTCCAGGGTTAGTACTGCCTATTCATTTGCGGCCTTTGAACTGCGGATTAGACACGTGAACTGTTGTGTCGCTTTGTGTTGCTTTGCACGCTGCACAGTGTGTTATGCTGTTTTGTGGTTTTTTCTGCACTTTGAGTGCATGAGGAAGTGTGAACGAATTTTTTTAAACATGTACAAAAAGATCAATTTTAAATAAAAAAAAAATAGCGCTCGGGTTAGTGTGGTGTTCCGTTGTATTGATATTTGTGTGTGCCGTGTATGTGCTCAATATATGTTCACCTGATGCCAGTAATAAGTGTAATGTGTGTATAGTAGAGGATCCCCAAGCGCGGTAGTGGCCTGAAAAGAGCAAATTATTTTTTGTAGAACATGAATTGGGCAGTACCTAGCGCCACCTAGCCTAGCTACTTGCAATTACTCTGCTTGACCCCGCCATCTGGTGGCTAGCGATTTAGCCTTTCACGCTGCGCAATAAACAGCGGCTTCGAGTTTGTTCTTTCGAGAACGGCTTTTGGTTTCCCGGATTGAGTTTGCCCTTCTCCGTGATGTGCGGTTGACGAAGGAATTGTGACTCTAGGAACACCAAAGGTAAGACTCAAAGTGCCCGAAGTAACTGGGTGTCCGTTGTCTCCGTTTAACATCGCAGTGCTGTCGACGAGAAGACTGAGGAACTCCTTTCGAAACGCAAGTTTCTGTACCTGTGGGGGGAATCTGGCTTCGGAAATAAACACAGTTTGTGGAGAGCTCGTGTTACGCTTTTATTTGCTGCTGCTCTCGTCCCGTACAAGAGATAGCGTCCTTGTCAAGCCTTATTGGGCTCGATTTGCTCGATTTGGGGCCGCCATATTGAGATGCAAGCGACGGAGGAACTTTGCTGCCCTGCTTTAGGGACGAACGTTTCTCCCTTTCTAAAGGAACATAAGTTACAAGACCGTTCCTCTCCTAAGGGAGGACTATCCATACCCTTTTTTATAAGAGTGTACGCCGAGAAACGCCAGCCAATCGTTTTCATGACGTCACGACTCCGTGGACCAATCGCGATCCTTTCGAAAAAAAAAAAAGCTCAACATGGCTTGTGGCCTTAGCAACGCGACGCTAGTTTCTCGTGACAATTATTCTGCCTTTTTGCACCGTGTTTTACGTGCCCGAGGTTACGCCACGAAATCTTAATGGTATCGGCTTGCGTTTGCAGCAGTTTTTGCGCGACAACGTGAGAATCCAGCGACGCTATCGCCAACGAAAATTTCGAAGCGGGCGCGAGGCTTAGCACTGCTGAGAGGTGAGAAGCTACGCCGGACGTCGTCTGCTTCGTTAGATTTCTGTCGCCTCTGCCCCACCTTGCTACTCAACGTAGTACCGGCACCGCTGCTTCGATTCGCTGTGGTTTCCGCGGGGTGAGCTGAGATTGCCGTGCTTATCAGCCGCAGGTGAAATACCGGGAGTCCCAGCGCGCTGTTCCGTCGTAGAATGGACCGCATAAATCAGTCGATGAACGGAGCGCGATAACACTTTCCACGGAGGTGTATCTAGACGGTGCGTTTATTATACGAAATTTTAATGAGCCTAGGTTTTCTAAACTAAAAGCGAGAAAAGAAATGCCGTAAGTCCATGCAGACTGGGACGCGGTCCGCGTCCCAGTCTGTCTGCCCATAGAGATGTACGGCTTTTCTCGCTTTTCGTATAGGAAACCTAGGCATGAAATTTTAGTACAATAAATGTCCACGAAGGTGTATCCAAATACACCTTCGTGGAAAGTTTCATCGGGCTCCGTTCACCGACCGATCTATGCGGTCCATTCTACGACGGAACAGCGCTCTGGGACACCCTGCGTGAGATGAGCATAAACACTTCCAGCACTGAGTTGCTTCACCAGACGTCGTCCGCACTACTGGTGGTGGTACAGCAAACAAAGAAACATTGCGAAAATGGGTTTGTCAGCGGTATTCATTTATATGACAAGCCTGCCGTTTTTAGTTTTCCTCGTGATCAGTCGTAAAGTAACATGATTGCCATAGCACCTTCCGTCGGAATAGCGACCTGATAAAGCCAGTGATATTTGAGACTCAAACCTTTCCCTGGTGTCATTTTGGTTATCACCGTGCAGGAGACGTTGGTCTGTGTGCGAGATATTTCAAACCCTGACTTGCACCCCTAAATCATGGGCCCCTGGGGTCAACCAACTTGAGACACTGCAACACTACCAAAACGAGAAACAACACTGCTGCTATGCCCTCGACTGTGAAAACCAGAGCACCTTAAAACCAAAGAATGCCGTTCATTCCAATCAAAAACAGTTCCAGAAGCAAGTCAGGCACCGTATTTACTCGAAAATAGGTCAACCCCTATATATTGAACCCCCGTAAAAAAAAGAGAAGATAATACGAATATAAGTGGACGTGTATAATAAGACAACAGTACAGGAGCAGCAGCAACTGGAGAACGACACGGATAGAGAAACAGCTTAAAAATAATGATAGCAGGTCGAAGAAGGTTCGCAAAAGAAGAACAAAATGTGACGGAACTAACGAATCGACCCTCGCAGTCATGATAATGTTTTGTACTTCGCTTCTCTTTTCTGCAAGGTGGAGTCACTGTGCATGCCACTGCTGTTAGCTCTTTTCAGTTTCATGTTGTCAACCGAATTCCATTATTTTGATCTGTTTCAAGATGATCGGTATGAACTGAACACACTCGAAACATGTTTACAGACGTACAGCGCAGATGTAGTGATGGGCGCAAGGGCAGCCCATGATCTTTGATGACGATTACAAGTCGACATGCTTTGGTCACGTTGATCTGAGTCCCCCTCAGTCTTCGGTTGAAGTTGTTGAAGGTGTTGTTGTTGAAGGTGAAGTTGTTGAAGTTGAAGGTGTAGGCTTCACGCTTCCTCGAGCGGCTCCACACCAGACAGGTCGCTCTCAGATGTGTCGTCTTCACCCAGTTCGATGACGATCGGCTCTACATGGGCACTTGCAGCACCGCCTCGTCTGTAGCCTTCCTCCACTCCAACGACATGCCTCACAGCATTGCGCCAGTTGTCAGCCGTGACCTTTTCGGCTTCTTCCTTGAGCAGCCTTTCAACGTCGCTGATCTTGAACGTTGTGTTCCTGGCTGCAACGCCGTTCTTGATCTGTGCCCAGATGAGTTCAATGGGGTTGAACTCACAGTGGTAGGGTGGAAGTCTCACTGCCGTACAACCAGCCTTCTCTGCAGTAGTATCGACGCGATACTTCAAATACAGTGGCTTGACCGACGCCACGATGTCAAGGAGCTGCTTCTTCTGCATCTTGGCATCCCACGAGATGTCCTTTGACGTGAGCCACTGCTGGATCACCTCCTTCCGGGAACCCGTCGTTGGCACTGCTTCCAACCGCCGAGAATGGTACGAAACATTGTCCATTGCGATGACACTCCCTGTCGGCAGCATCTATAGAACAGCTTCGAACCACGTCTCAAATCGTGTGCCGTTCATCTCCTCGTGGTGGTCGCCGGTCTTTACTCCGCGGAAGACGTCCAGGCACCCAGCGACGAAGCCGTCCTCGCTGTCGATTTGCGTGACGATGAGGCGCTGGCCCTTCCCCGACGGCTGCTTCAGGCCCATCGTCAGACCCCTGATGAAGGCGTCGTGGGACGAGGCCACGGTGCAGTCCACTCATACCGTCGAGACAGTGTGCCCTGCCGTCAACCACGTTTCGTCGAGGTAGAAGATCTGCCGACCCTCTTGCCTTTGACGTGCAATGTCCCGCAAGTACCTTTCATGCCATGTGATGATCTCGTCTCGCACGATCATGCGCGAGTTTCGACCAGTCTTCTTTCGCTCGAAGCCAATATCGTGCAGAAGGCGAAGCACAGTCCATTTCTGCAGCGAAGGGAGCTCAGGGCTTGCACAGAACTCAGCCATTATCTTTGCGACGGTCGGGATCTCGTTCTGGCGAAAAAAACGGTGCACAGAAGATCTCATTGCACACAGCACAAAGTCGCCGTACTTCACGCTGCGCCGTTGCTTGCCTGAACTCGCAGGTCGCTTTCGAGAGGGTGTCGCAACCTGCCCGTCATTCTCCTTCGCCTTCTTCCTGATCTCGTGGACGCTCGACACGCCGACACCAAGCAACCGGCTGACAGTTTTACAGACCTCGTTGACTGTCTGGCTCGGTATGTCGCGTCCGAAAGTAAGCGTTCAGGATCAGCTCCCGCTGGCCGCTGTTCAAAACCCGGCCTCGCTTGTGCTTCTTGAAGAACCGCTTTGGTGTCGCCGGTAAGGCTGCACCAGGCTGTTTCGTCCAAGAAGAATCAGGGGAATCGCTTTCCGATGTCACCGCAGTGGAATCCATGACGGAAGACAAAGAGAGCGGGGCGCGGTGGTGGTGTCGATGACTTGGGAGACTGCTGATTTGTCAAAACCCGAAAAGTATAATTATTCTTGTTTTCTATTCATCCAACAAAATAAAGGCACACATTTCGTGCGCAAAGCCCACAAAACTAAGTAAATCACTAAATATTTATTTTTTGCAGGAGCTATAAGTGCTTCGCTTTCCCTCAATCGAAGGCGCTGGAAGGCGGTACGTTAGACAGTATCTTGGACAGAAAATGAATTGGGAAGACGGTACATTGGACATGACTTTCTTTCTTTACTAAACAGTTATTTCGTTGACAAAAACGTATTCTAACTTATTTAAATGTCCTGAATGAATTAAATAAATATTGTAGTAGTTTAAGACAGGTTTCCTGGAGGAAGAAAAAGCAACGTTGCTAGCGAACTTCTTTCTCGACGGCGGAGGCACTTCAGATGGACGCAATGCGCTTGTGGGCGGAGCTAAAAGATTGTTCTCAGGTTGTATCCGACTATAGTACCAATGAACTACAACAGAGATTTGGTCACCTTAGGCCGTACAGGTATTCTGTTTGCAAAACGCCCGCGTTTTGTTGCTTCATTGGGCAAAAAGCAAGTCGCATCCTCACAGGAGTATCAAACTTGAACCCAGCGTTGGCGCATGAACTTTTAAGGAAACACAAAAATTCGACCTCATTACGGCACAAAAGTTACTGTGATGTCTTCCTAGTGTCATCACATATCTCACACTCAAATTTTAAGCTGATAGAAGATTAAGTTTTCGCAAACGCCGAGATGGGGTAGCTACGACGGAGGCCCTAAAAAGCGTCCTCTACTCCTCGCTAAGCCTTTTTCGACGAGCTTTTACTGACGCCCAAGATCTGTGCCAAAAAACGGTGTGTCTGAAATTGTCTCGGCATACTCAGTCAGGAAGAAAGCAAACATATAACAAATATAATGGCCATTAGCAACCGTCAAATGCGCTTTGAATAATTTCGTTCGTTTCGCGCACCGCACACGGGTTCATGCCCGTCCGGCGCATCTTCCGGCGGAGGGTGTGACATATTTCCTAAAAGTGGTCGACTTTTGCTTTCTTAAAACGGTTTGTACGTACGAATATGCCTGGGTGGTTTCATTTGAAATCGAACACGATTGTCGGGGTAGGTCTTTCGATTTTTTTCTGAAAAATATATGCAATTCCCCCATTTCTGAAAAATACAAAACCGCTTTTCAAAAATTTTTAAACAAATATTTCGCTTCACAAAAAAATTATTGAGTGGAGCAGGGTGGAAATCTGTTTTTTACTCCATGATTTTTCCACCCAGTTCTTACGCTAGTATGAATACGGGAAGCATACAAAACTCTCAGTAATTTTTGTGCTCTTGTATGCTATTATGAATATTTCTTAGTTCAAAGGAAAATACTTTTGTATTTGGTGTTTTATTGTGGTAAAAATTTTTAAACATCGTCTCTTTGACAATCCGGTGACATCTTCAGAACCTTGTAATTCATGTACTGTTATATTTGTCACCTATTTAATACTATGCGGGTGTAGCCCTATACATGGGCTATTGACGGGCATAAGTTTAGGTTATTTTACTTTCACAGAATTTTTATATAAAATTTGAAATATCGTCGAAAATGAAATTAACTGATATTTTAAGCCCACTTTATTGAAAAATGCCAATTAATATTTTGTCCAATTTTTTTTATTAGTGCTGACAATCATATGAACTTTCAAGTGGTTTGACGCGATTTCCCCCTTTTCTTATTGTACCTTCTCAAGAAGTAATCGAAATCGCTCCCACGTTCTGAGAACGGCCAAACGCAGTTTCCGCAGGTCGGCTTCGCTGCAAAGACTATACTGCTTATTTGTGTGTTCAAATGCAGCAAATTCATTTCGATTGAAAACACTCGTGCTTGGCTACATATTGTATTTTCTTAATTTTGTAATGATGGCAACCTACATTCCTTAGTCTGATAGTTAGCGGTGCAGCGGATGTTCTATTATCCGACGTCTAAAATCAGGGCACAAAGGGAGGAGAAAACGGAACGAGCTCTTCATGGTAGCCAGACCGGGGTCAGATATCTGTTTGTGGCGTCGCGACCGCTTGCGCCATCTCTTGTCTCCCGTGCGAAACAGCGCCGTGTTGTTTGAAGACCGGTTGCGTTGCTGCGTTTCCATAGGAGTAAGCCTTTTTCTTTCTGGTTCGTCAGGTAAATTCGCTCTTTGCAAATTTTACAAAAAAAAAAATCTATGGGCAACGCTGCACAAAGTCGTAGCGCGATAGGTTAAGAAACCAAATTTTGCGGTCGATTTAAAGAGCCTGGCGTCTCCTTGAATCACCCGCTTCAAGCTCTCGACAACTTTCGTCGTGAAATAAGAAGCAACCTAAGGGGACTAAAGGATAGTGTGAACTACTGCAGCTAAAGCTGTGACGATTTGAAAAATGTCACAGACGAAATTAAAGAGTTGCGGTGAGAAATACAGGAGCTGACAAGACACAACCAAGAATTAAAATATGAAAACCGTAACCTAACCAATAGACGTGAAGAAATGGAACAGTATCAAAGTGAAAACAACCTCGAAATCAAAGGAGCGCCGGGAGAGGTTGATCACACCGCCATTATAAAACAAATCGGGGAACTCGTAGGCGAGCCTATTAACGAGGCGGACATCCACATTTGTCACAACGTTCCCATATAAAAACCGGCGGAAAAAAACATTATTGTACGATTTGTACAATGCAGCAACAAAAACTCGTTGAAGGAAAAATGCAAAAAGAAACGCATAACAATCTCTGATCTTGGTGTTGCTGGAGCGGCGCCTTCTGTGTACGTAAGCGCACACTTGACACGACAACAGAAAACTGGGGGCAGCCATCGCTCGAAATCGCGAGGAAGATGGAAATTTGTCTTGACATCGAAAGGGAGGGTATGCGCGCGAAAAAACGAAAAATCAGTGGCTATCAGAAACTCGGAAGACGTGGCCAAAACGATAAGGTAGCCTCGGTCTACCGATGCCACCAACTTTAAGTACAATCGTCTATTTTCAATGGCTGAAATACATCCGATAGAATGCAGATATCTTGACAAAACATCGCTTAATTTTTTTTAGTGGTTTAAAAATTAGTTTTTCTGCAATTCACTTCAATTCGAGGAGTATCAGCAACAAACGAGACGACTTGGAAATATTTCTTGATTCTTTGAATGTTTGCTTTGGCTCGTATACCTTTTTTAGAAACTTGGGTTCCATATCATGCTGAGCCGCCTCACTTTAGTGATTATAAATGTGCCAGTTTGGGTTGTCAAAGTAAAGGAGGAGGGGACGTTGCCATCCTTTTGAAAAAGGATATGTCACGGTATGTTGTTGAGGATTATTCCATGATTACAGCTCACGTCGAGTACCTTGTCTTACAAGCCGAAACTGTTCCTATTGTAGTTATTTATAGACCCCCCGCTAGTAGCAAATAAGTTTTTCTCTGCTTTTTAGAAGATTTCCTAAATTTTTTTGTTCGTTTCCCAAACCATGTTTTTTTTTTATTGTGGGCGATACAAATATTGACCTACTTAAATGTGATAGCTATGCAGTCGAGTTCAAAAGTCTGTTATTCGCTTACGGTTGCTGGAACGCTGTGACACTGCCCACCGGAGTGACCTTGGAAACATCAAGTTCTATTGACATATGCATAACTAACCTCAACGCTATGGAAGTCACTTCTGGTGTATACACACATGACATCAGCGACCACGTGACAGTTTTTTCTCTAACATCTTTCTCCCAAGGCAATAATACAGCTGAACATGAGATCTACTGCTACAGAAGAATAAACGACGAATCACGGGAGAATTCTCGCGCCTCGACCGATCAAACATGCTGGAAAAGCGTTCTTTTAGAACAGGACCCAAACCTGGCTTACGCAAACCGTTCTCGCAAATTTAAGATTTGTTACGGTACTGAATTTCCGATTATACAATTAAATAGGCGTAAAAACAAAGTCCGACAGCCGTGGATCACCAACGACTTATATAGACGAATTAAGAAAAAATATAAGATGTAGCACAATTTT